ACACCCATTCGGCACACCCCTCACACGTTTCGTGGCTCCATAGGGAGCTCCACCGAAGGCCCCAGTGCCCGCGCCCGCATGCGTCACCCACACCCATTTCGGCACACCCCTCACACGTTTCGTGGCTCCATAGGGAGCTCCACCGAAGGCCCCAGTGCCCGCGGCCGCATGCGTCCCCCACACCCATTTCGGCACACCCCTCACACGTTTCGTGGCTCCATAGGGAGCTCCACCGAAGGCCCCAGTGCCCGCGGCCGCATGCGTCCCCCACACCCATTTCGGCACACCCCTCACACGTTTCGTGGCTCCATAGGGAGCTCCACCGAAGGCCCCAGTGCCCGCGGCCGCATGCGTCCCCCACACCCATTTCGGCACACCCCTCACACGTTTCGTGGCTCCATAGGGAGCTCCACCGAAGGCCCCAGTGCCCGCGGCCGCATGCGTCCCCCACACCCATTTCGGCACACCCCTCACACGTTTCGTGGCTCCATAGGGAGCTCCACCGAAGGCCCCAGTGCCCGCGGCCGCATGCGTCCCCCACACCCATTTCGGCACACCCCTCACACGTTTCGTGGCTCCATAGGGAGCTCCACCGAAGGCCCCAGTGCCCGCGGCCGCATGCGTCCCCCACACCCATTTCGGCACACCCCTCACACGTTTCGTGGCTCCATAGGGAGCTCCACCGAAGGCCCCAGTGCCCGCGGCCGCATGCGTCCCCCACACCCATTTCGGCACACCCCTCACACGTTTCGTGGCTCCATAGGGAGCTCCACCGAAGGCCCCAGTGCCCGCGGCCGCATGCGTCCCCCACACCCATTTCGGCACACCCCTCACACGTTTCGTGGCTCCATAGGGAGCTCCACCGAAGGCCCCAGTGCCCGCGGCCGCATGCGTCCCCCACACCCATTTCGGCACACCCCTCACACGTTTCGTGGCTCCATAGGGAGCTCCACCGAAGGCCCCAGTGCCCGCGGCCGCATGCGTCCCCCACACCCATTTCGGCACACCCCTCACACGTTTCGTGGCTCCATAGGGAGCTCCACCGAAGGCCTCAGTGCCGCCGCCCGCATGCGTCACCCCCACCCATTTCGGCACACCCCCCGCATTTCTCGCACGGCAGGGTCATCACCACGGTGGCGTGCCAGGGGCGCACCATGCGCGAAGGCGACGGGGCGGGGGAACGGCGCTCCGGGGGCGGCCAGACCTCCGGGGCGCGAGCAGTCCGCGGCCAGACCATCTCTCGGTCCTGTGGACTCTCGCCCTGGGCCGTCGGCTGCCCGGCGCGCTGCTCCCTCGGTCGACGTCGCCCAGGCGTGATCCTGGATTGCGGCCGCCACGAGGTAGGGAACGGCAAGAAGGAGGACGACGACTGGTGGCTGGAGCTCTACGTGCTGCTCTCGCGCGCCACGCGCCACGAGGACCTCCTGCTCATGCGGGCGCCGCGCATCGAGTTCTTCCTGGCAGGGCCGCCGCAGGGCTTGCGGAAGCAGCTGGAGCAGTTTGCGGCGCGCACGAAGCGGTGCAGGAGGGAAGCGACGGCCCTCGCCAGGGAGCTCGGCTTCACCGAGTTCATCCGCGAGGCCTGACCTGAGGAGCGTCTCCCCCGAGCCGCGCCTTCTCTCGACTGCCCGACTAATTGTTTGGCCTCGCGCCGCGGACGACCCGCGCGCGTCGCTGGGACCCTCTCGGGGCGACCAGCGCGCGTCGCGGGAACTCCGTGCTGCGGGGGGCCCGGCGCCTCGTTCGCCCGTCGTCGCTCTGCCCAGCGGTCAGAGACTTGCCCGCTATCAGCCAGCCAGTTAGCTAGTCAGCTCTCTCTGCTTCGCGCAGCGGACGACCCGCGCGCGTCGCTGGGACCCCGCCCGGGGCGACCAGCGCGCGTCGCGGGGACTCCGCGCTGCGCTGCGCCCGCAGCCTTGGATTTTGGAGTGCGCGGGCAAAGAGGAAGGAAAAGAAGAGCCGAAAGCGGGCGCGATCCTCGCAAGAGGCGTGCCGACATGGGCGTCGCGACGTGCGGACGCTGCCGTCGGGGTTCCCGCGGAAGCTGCCTGCGGCGGCCACGCCCAGTGTCACGTGTGTTCGGACAGGCATGCTCGACACTTACACTAGGCGGTTCCATGATCGCATTCATGCAAATATATTCACTCGCGCGCAGACCCATTCATACTCAGATTCCCTCGCGCTCTGACTCACCCGCGTTCTTTCTCTCGTAATCAGATCTATCGTATTCCTTTGCGTTGTGTACCCCGCCACATTTCGGCACACCCCTCATGCGGTTCGTGGCCCCATAGGGAGCGCCACCGAAGAAGATACGCACAATTGCGATACTCACAACTGCATATGGTTGGGTCCTTCGCCAGGATAATTTTCCCCCCGCTCTGCAGCAATATTAATGTCACCTGAGTCTGTCTCAAGATTGAACGCCCCAACTGTCCAAAGCTAGTTTGTACGTGCGTACCCGGGGTATCGCATATCGCAACATGTGGAGGACACACGGGGACGCGATGGGGGATTGGGGCTACCTTGCCAGCGCCTACAATTATGATATTCTGTGCCCTCAAGACGGTCCCGGAACGACCCAGGAGGGCCTCTGGACAGCCCGAGAGGCCTCCCAGACGGCCCAAGAGGCCTCCAAAGAGGCTCCAAGAGGGTTCCCACACGGGAGCCCGAACGAACTTTTCGAGAGGCGCAGCGTCCATGATGGCCGCGTATGATGGGACGGGATGGAGGGATGGGGGCTACGTTGCCGACGCTTGCAATTCTAACTCTCTTTGCCCTCGCGGGCTCTCTACTCTTCTGCCACTCGATGCACCTCCTGCATCGCTGAGTCTGCACTCAGGCGGTTCTACTTTTTCTTGTCACCGAACCTCTACCGCTCTAGAGCCTAGTTGCCAAAGTCCGCCTAACGTAACAAGGCACAGCGTCGATGTCAGGAGGAAAAGGAGAAAGAGGAGGAGGAGGAGCAGGAGGAGGAGGAGGAGCAGGAGGAGGAGGAAGAGGAGGAGGAGGAGCAGGAGGAGGAGGAGGAGGAGGAGGAGAAGAGGAGGAGGAGGAGGAGGGGGAGAAGGAGGAGGAGGAGGAGGAGGAGGAGGAGGAGCAGGAGGAGGAGGAGGAGGAGGAGGAGGAGGAGGAGGAGGAGCAGGAGGAGGAGGAGGAGGAGGCGGGGGAGAGGCGGGGGGAGAGGGACGACCGGAGTAAGCCCAGGACGTGTCAGCGACGCTGCGAGCACGCCCTCCCGTCCCAGGTCCCCTCCTCACCAGGTCCCTGCAGGCCGCCCCTGCCCGTCTCGCGGCAAACTGGCGCCCCCCGGGGAGAGACAGGTGCCCCACGGGCCTGTCGTGCAGGCGGGGGCCTCGCTCTGGAGCGGAGCTGCCTGGCACCCCTCGGACGAGCACTGGGGAATGCGAAAGGGTGATTAGGATCGAAACGCCGAACGAAAAATCCAGCGATGGCCCCGTTTTGAAAAGGATTCCCCCCCCACCCGTGGGTCTGTTGCACACGTTGACACCGAGGAAACCTCAACCAACCTCCCATGTGAATAAACACCCGCCCTCCATCGGTGAAGCTGCTGTATGTACATATATATATATAGAGATATACAAAATGAGACTATCACTTATGTTTGTGCACAAACCTTCATTCAAATATCTGTAAGTGCACGTGTAAGTGAGCGTGTGCACATCGAGCAATAACCCCATGTTGAAAACGAGCCGCCCTCCGCCCTTTATCGGAAGGGCAGGACGGACAGGGAGAAGGCGGCGGATGAGGCAGAGGAATAGGAGGAGGAGGAGGAGGAGGAGGAGGAGGAGGAGGAGGAGGAGGGAGAAAGAGGAGGAGGAGGAGGAGGAGGAGGAAGACAATGGGCCCAGAGAGGCACTGAAATGGGCCGGTCCGATCCCCTGTCACCACGTAGGCGAGTAGGAGGGGAAGGAGGAGGAGGAGGAAGAGAAGGAGGATGAGGAGGAGCAGAGGAATCAGGAGGCAGCGAGTGCAAGGCGAGGAGGATGGGAGTAGCAGGAGAAGGAGACGGGAGCAGAAGTTGGGGGGAGACGGGACGAGGAATGGCTCCATCCTGAGGACAAGGGGGCATCCGGTCCAAACCGACGATGGGGGAGGCCGATCTACGTTGTGGCTAGGGAACTCAATCGAAGGTGCGATCTGCAACCGAACCTGGATGAACCAACCCCTTCTGTCCATACGCTGGTTAGGTGAAGGCTTGTCTTGATCGACATCGTGGTCGCCTTGGTCATCGTCGTCCTCATCGCCACCATCGCCCTTGCAAGCCGTCACCCGGGGGCTTGGTCGTGGTCGTCGTCGTCGTCCTCGGCGTGGTCGTCGCCGTCGTCGTCGTCGTCGCCGTCCTCGCAGCCGGCGCCCGTGGCCTGGTCGCGGTCGCCGTGGGCCGCCGCCGTCCTCGCAGAGGCCGTCGCGGGCAAGGCGCCATGGCCGCCGCCCGAGTCGCCGTTGCCGCCGCGGCCCCCGAGGAGCCCGGGGCCGTCTGCCCCCGCCCCGCAGAGGTGGCCGTCATCGCTGCCGCCACCGCCGTCGGGAAGGAGGGAAGGCGACACCAACACCACCAGGGCGAGGAGATGCGAGGAGCAAGGGGGGCATCCCTGGTGGTGTGGTCCCCCCCTCTCGCTCGAGGCATCCCCAGCCTCCAGCTCGGGGAGGCATTGTGGACCTCCCCGCCGGAGGTGGCCCCCTGGTGGTGTTAAGTGTTGGTTTTCGCTCCTCCTCCCTCCGACGCCGCGGCCGCCGTGGTCGTCGCCGCCGTCTCCGAGGGCCCCGAGCGGCGAGCCTACCCGTCTCCCCACGCCCTCGCCTGTCTGGACTCCGGGGCGCGATCCCGCGGATATGCGGGCGCACGGATGCGCTCCGGGCGGGGGGCAGCCGCGAACAGAAGCGCTCCGTCTCCGCGGGGTCGCAGCGCAGGGGGCCCGGGCCGCGAGGCCGCGGACGCGGGAGCGTTCGCCTCCTCCGAGGAGGGCGGGCGGCGCCGCCTGCGGGCATCGGCTGCATCGACGGGGGCCGCGTCAGCGGGGGCGGCGGCTGGTGCATCGGGGGCGGCGGCATGGACCCGAGCTGGCCGCCCAGCGTGGGCGGCGGCGGCGGCATCATGGTGCCCCCGGGCTGGTCGACCGTGACGAGGCCGAGCTTGATGGCCTGGGGGCGGTGGCTTCGTCGTTCTCGTCGTCCTCGTTGTCGTCCTCGTCGTGACCGTCCTCGTGGTCGTCTTCGTCCTCGTCGTCGTCGTCCTCGTCCTCGTCGTCCTCGTCGTCCTCGTCCTCGTCGTCTCCGTCGCCCTCGGCATCGTCGTCGTCGTCGTCGCCCTCCTTGTCGTCATCACCTTCTTTAGCGCTCTGATGCCTCACCCCCGCATGAGGCCATCCAAGGTCGCCCCGTCGCAACCGAGAGGAGAGCGCCACCCGGAGGCACAGCACGACTGCTGGTCCCAACTTGGACCCATTCACTCACGTGAGCCTACGGGTTGCGACCAGCCAGTCCCACCCCGGAAGTCCCGGCTGGCCCCCAGCAGGCCCCCCGAGTATTAGGTCGGGCCTGTCCCCCCTACAAAGAGATTTTGGACGAAAAATGAAAAATATCCAAATAATATCCACAAAGATGCTCCAAAAAAGATGCCCAAAAATATTCAAATAATCACCAGCGAGATGTCCGACTGAACCCGAGTAGTCTGGGGCGGTCCCAGCACCCCCGCGCCGCCTCCGGCGCTCCGCGCCCACGCCCCGGGGTTGGGGCGCTGAGACCGCCCTGGGCTGCCCGGCGGGCCTGCGGAGGCCAGCTGGAGCTACCTGGGGGAAAGAGCTGTCTGTGCGCAGCCTGGAGCCTTACCCAGACCCCCTCGCGTCATGGAAAAATCACGACGGGAGGTTCTTCGCTATGTTCGGCCTCTGGGGGCCCCTACCGGGCCTCGGGAGCGTCAAAGAACGCCTCAGGATGCGAAGCCGGTCATGGGGAAAGGGTCGGGACCTCTGGGGGTCGACGTAAGGAAAAGATCATGACGTCGGGGGTCTGGGCTACCAGGCTCCCACCCACTACAGGCTTCGCAGCAGAGGTTGACACGGCATGGCGTGGCGGGGTGTGACGGGGGATTCGGGGGGGCCTTCGGCGATCGATCTTGGGTCTGCGAGGCCGATGGCTGAGCCCTGCGAGCTCTGCGGGCGCCTGTGACCAGAGCGAGGTGGATGCCATGGCAGCACGGCGCCTGGATCAGGGGTGAGAAAACAAGATGCGGAGGGCGCAAAGGGAGACGCGAGAAGAGAGGGAGGATGGGGGGAGGAGACAGCGGCGGCTGAGCACGTGGACGAGGAAGAGCAGGAGCGGAGGAGGAGCAACAGCAGTGCCAACAGGAAGATCAACATAAGGTGGTGTTGTGAAGATTGTGACCGGCTGACTCGGCTGCAGGATCTGGGCCCATCGCGGGATGCTTGGCGGCGGCGATGATGCTGATGATGACTGGCGGTGATGCCTGACGGCACAGGTGATACCGACGACAGTGATGAAGGCAATTCTGAGGACGGAATCGATGTTGACAATTTTCTCATCTGCCGCGTGCACAGCACGTCAGGATGCGGAGTTCTCGGCGCGGCGGTGCGAGCGCAGGCCTCGCGAAGGCTCCTCACGCGCTGCCGCCCCACCTGTCCCCGGCGGAAGGGACGTACATCATCTCGGCGTCGGTCGCCCCGCACCAGGTGTTCCACGTGCGCTTGCGCTCCATGCACTCCTCGAGAGGATCGAGGGCCGACGAGGTCGAGGAATCGGGGTGCCTGGGAACGGTGTCGGGGAGCGGCTCCTAGGAGCTGGGAGCCGGGGTCGAAGCAGACGGGATAGGCGGAGCGCGCCGCATCGCCGCTGCATCGGCGATGCCTCCGCGGCGCGGGCGATGCATCGGCGACGCCGGCGTGCAGCACGTCGCGCTCCGCATCTTGCCGCGTCGCCAATGCGTAGGCGACGCGGCGTGCTGCGCCGACCCCACCTGAAAACCGGGAAACCGAAAACTCGCCATCGCTGGGATGCCCATGCCCCGTGCATGTTTCGGCGTCGTGCGTCTATCTTTCGCGAGATGATCCACGATGCTCCACGATGGTCCACGCCGAAGAAGGCACACGTCCGAGCGATGCCAAGGAAAAAGATACCGGCCGCTGCTCCCCGGACCCCTCCAGGGGGGCGCTCTGACCAGCGCTGCAGGGCGGACCCAACCGTGGCGACGAGGGCCTCCTAGGAGGCCCATGAGAGCGAGGACGAGGAGGAGGAGGAGGAGGAGGAGGAGGAGGAGGAGGAGGAGGAGGAGGGGGGTACCTGCTCCTCCCCTGACTCTGCTTCGGCCCTCTCTGGGCGGCTCTGTGGGGGCCCTCGCGGGGGCCTCGTCGGGCGGGCACCCTTCGGGCAGAGGGCGGGGGCCCCATGACGCCCGGGGGCGGGGGGCGAGCCGCAGCACGACGGCCGCCTTCTCTGCAGACCTGGGCCTCTCGCGGGGCCCCCTTCTTTTATAAATTTTCAGATAGCGTTTCGAACGAGAGCGAGCACGAATCCGAACGTTCGCAACGGAACGCTTCAAACGATACGCGTGCAAACAGAAACGAAAACGAAAACGATGCCGCCATTCAGCGAGACAACAAAACGAAAAACGAAACGAACTCCGCAGACCATCGGGCAGAATCCGCCAGCCGCCCCTCGGGCCGAACAGGCTATGAAGCCCCCTGCTGGCCCGCCGCACCCTGCGCTCCCTGTGCCGGCTTGTTTCGTTGTGTTTGGGCCTCTCGTTGTGGATGCCACGGCAATGGACATCCTAACAGTCCTATCATTGAGCTAAAGACGTGCTTGACATGTGTAAGAGATGCTCTAAAAGGGCTTCAAACATGTTTCTTACACATTTAAACCCTGTTTGAAACATCTGTTAGACATCTGGAAGTTATTTGGCAGCACGCGCCCTCTCCATTCGTCGACTTCCACACATTCTGGCCTCTCGCCTCTGCGGCAGGCCCCCGGCCGCGCGTTCCTGCCCTGCCCGGGGGGGGAGGAGGGGGGAGGGGGAGTCGGAGGAGGAGGAGGTAGGAGGAGGAGGAGGAGGAGAGGAGGAGGAGGAGGAGGAGGAGGAGGAGGAGGAGGAGGAGGAGGAGGAGGAGGAGGAGGAGGAGGAGGAGGAGGAGGAGGAGGAGGGGGGGAGGAGGGGGAGGACGAGGCGGCGGAAGAGGAGGAGGAGGAGGAGGGAGAAGCGAGGAGGAGCAGGGCAGGCCGCGCCCGCGGAGCAGCCCGAGCGACGAGAAGGAAGGCGCGGCGACCTTGCGCGAGCTGGCGCGGCGACCCTGCGCGGTGGCCTGCGCGGGCCGCCGGCGAGGCACGCTGCATGGGACGCTGGGCCCGTGTTCCACCACCACCACCACCACAAGTTGGAGGGGGGGGGGGGAGGAGGGGGAGGAGGAGGAGGAGGAGGAGGAGGAGGAGGAGGAGGAGGAGGAGGAGGAGGAGGAGGAGGAGGAGGAGGAGGAGCCCCTCCCCCTCCAACTCGTGGTGGTGGCGGTGGAAAGCAGGCCCATCATGGGAAACGAGGGCGCGCCTGCGCGCGACCCTACGCGGGGAGCTTTCGCGCGAAACTCGGCGCAGGCGACCCCGCGCTCTTCCGTCGTTCAGCTGTGGGGGGAGGAGGGCTCAAAGTCTTGGCCGCTCGGAGGTTCTCCAGGACTCCTCCTCCTCTTATTCCTCCTCCTCGTTATCCTACTTCTGCCTCCTGCGTCTCCACCTTCCCATCCTCCCACCACCTCAACCTCCTCCCCCTCCTCCTCCTCCTCCCCCTCCTCCTCCTCCTCCTCCTCCTCCTTTGTCTCCTCCTCCTACCTAGTCCCATAGGGACGCCAGAGCACGGCAATTAGGGCCAAACAGACCTCGAACATTGCACCAGGCGGCTCCGAAGAAAGCCCACGCCTGCCCAAGGGAGCACCAGGACGCCCCGAGATGGCCTCACACCTGGCAAAGAGGCCACCAGGACGCCACGAGAGGGTCCAAAGAGAAACTCCAAGAGACCATCCAGAAGATGAAATAATCGGTGTCTCGTAGGCGTTGTACAAGCATTCGTGTTCTCGCCTCCTCGGGCTCCCGCAAACCCAGGACGGTCCAAGGCGCCTCCAAAAATTCCCCAAGGCAGCCCAGAGGCTCCTGAGAAATACAAATGGGCCCAAACATCGCCAAGGAGGCACCCAACACGGCTCCAATACGGCCCGAGGCTCCAGGATTGTCCACGAGGGCCTCGAAGGGGCCCCAAAAGACTGCCCGAGACAGGCAAGACTGCTCAAGGCGGCCCAAGAGGGCCCCAAGACAGCCCGAGAGAGCCCGAATAATGAATCCAGACTATACTCCAAAGGGGGACCAAAAAGGCCAATGTAGAGCTCCCAGGAGGGTGCCAAGTGGGCACCCAAAGGAAGACATTCATGAAAAAAGAGCAGACGGAAAAGGAACCGGCGCAGAAATAGGAAGAGCAAGGTGAGAAGGACAAGGAGGAGGAGGAATAATAGATGGTAGCGGAAGCGGAAGTGGACTCGCGGTGGAGGGGGAGGGAGAGGGGACATGCGAGGAGAGGAGAAACGAGAAAGAGGGGGAGCGGGCGGCCCAAACGCCAAGACTTCACACGCTCCGGACTCTGGACACGCCATCCGCGAAACGACGGGAATCCACAAGATGGTTCAGACTCAAGCTGGCGGAAGCGGGCGCAGTCCGTCACATTCACGTCCGAGGGACGGGCGGTTCCATTCTCGTTCACTTGCTTGCCCGTCGGTCGAAAGAAGCGAAAAGAAAGATGAAGTCGAAGGCGTTGGAAGTAGATTTGGCATGCGCCCGCCCCTGAAGAGGAGGGAAGAGGGAAAACCGCTCGATGATTGGAGTAGGAAGCCGCCTAAAGTAGATTGGGATCTGGTATTCCAATCAGACCCACTTTCAACGACCGACGAGTCATCATCAAATGTTTCCCCTCCCTGGTTTTGCCGTGTGCTGCCTCCCCCCCCGACGGAAGTTCTCGATATGGGCCTCATGGGAGGATTGCCGTGTTTCTGGCTGGCTCTGAGATCGCCTTCATTGCCCCCGCGTGGTCCACCAACGGTCCCCGAGACGGCTCAAGAGGACCCCGATGCGTGCAGCCCAAGATGGCCTGCGGA